ATTACTGGGTAGTTGGTGCAAACAGCGCCATCCACGGCCTCCAAGCCGAGGTGATCGTTTCTTCTACTGGTTGTGTAAAGATTTCCTAAATTTCATGGATTTTGTCGACAAAGTATCCGCATTTTCATTTAGTTACTGCACCTGTTAAGTTATACCGGCGGAACATGCAGTTTTGGCAAAATTACTGTCGCTTCTGCGATTTTTGATCGGAGCTGTCGCGAGATCTTTTTTCTGTTTGTTTCTGCTTCAGCCCCACCGAAGGACTAAATCTTTTCGGGAACTCATGGAAGTACCCCAGTTCTCAGTCCTTCGCGAAGAACTCGTTAAATTTATTATGCAACAGACAAATGACAAGCTTTGAACTGTTATCAGCGACAGTGCTGCTAACATCGCCTGCTTTTACTAAACTAAGAGTTTTATTCTGTAAAATGTTACACCGACTTTTTTTGTCTTGTTAAATGAACGTGCATCTTTCTCAGGCGGTGGGGAAAAAGCCTAGACTGCGAATCGCGGTTGCAGCCAACGGCGTGGACGGTTTTGTTATTTGCTTTTGTTGCACGCAGGCCTACGACTGTGTTTTCACTGATTCTCACATGAGCGGCGATCATTGGGCGATTTCCGGCACGCGTTGGCTCAATATTTTTTCCGGTGCGTATGGTTATGGATCGATGCTTTGCACCACCCTGTTTGATCGCAGCAGCGCCGCATTATTGTTTCAATATTGTTTATAGTGATTATTCTTTCTTACTTATATTTTTGTTATGACATTGATATTGTTATATATTTGTGATAAATGATGGTCCGCGTTGAAATACGTCTACGCTCAGCACCTAGACCATGTGTGCGAGTAAAATGTTTTTCGCATCACGTATTCGTTTGCTGACTCGACTTGTACACGAACTCGTTACCTTATTGCTGTATTGTTGTGGGTGGACGACGAAAAACTTGTTTTCGCTTCAGGTTCAGTGGTTCCGACAAAAGTCATTTGCGACAAACGAAAATTCTGCTGCTCGGCTACCGTATGCTAGTCAGGTACCGTTGTTTGGCTATATTTTTACTGCTAATTTTTATCTGCTTGCTGCTGCTTTGCATATTCAGTTGGTTGCCGATGCTGAGCGATTGACTGTGTCGTTTGGCGTAGCGGTTGATTTTTTAGGCGCTTCGTGTTGTGTTGTTTTCATGTTTTGTGTCTTCCTCTGTCGGGCGAAGGTCAGCGAACGCTGCTTCCGGTCACTGTATTTACTTGTCCTGCGCCACCTGTTTGCGGCTCGACTCAGAGGTGGAAGCGCGAGTTGCCCTTTCAGTCGCCCGGCGTACGGTTATTGAGTGACTGTGAATTTTTTTTAGTAAAATTATCGAGGTAAATCGTCGTCGTGCTGCACGATGAGATGATGAATTCGGAAATGGATTCGGAAAACGTTTACGACGTTCAGAAGTTTGACATCACGTACGAACGCGCCGACGGCGTGTATTACGCCGAGGACGACGTGAACGGCAACATTTGTATCGTACTGTCCAGCCCGTTGCGAGTGCAGGAGTTGCGGCTGACGTTCAAGGGTAGAGCGAAATGGGACTGTCCAAGCGAAGCTGTGCTGCAGTTGAACAGCGTGCACAACCGATCGCACGACGCCACTTCCGAGGTGGTGTTCTACGACAAGGAGGTGGTGCTCGTCGATCGTCTTCCTGGCAAAGACCTGACCGGCGCGTTCGTGCTGTCACCCGGATCGCATATCTTGCCTTTCACTTTTCCTCTTCCGAAGCATGTTGAGACGTCTTTCGAGGACAAAAACGGTACGTGCTTCCTGCTTGCATCCCAACTGCTGCCGTGCAGCATTCGTTCATGTGACACCGGTTTCTGTGTTCTAGGATCTATAAGATACTTTTGTCAGGCCGTGCTCTCCCGGCCGTGGAACCACGATTTTGTCACCGAGCGGCCTTTTACCGTGCTTAAGAAAGAATCGACACTCGATTCGAATTGTTTGGACTTGCTGAAGCCGGTGTCGCGCAACGACAGCGAAAAAGTGACCACGTGCTGCAACTCTGGCGTCATTAGCTGCGAGACGAGCTTGCCGAAGCAGCTGTTCTTCCCTGGGGAGACGGTGTTCGGTTCGATGAAGGTGTCCAGCGACAGTCGTTGTAAACTGACGAAACTGGTTACACGCCTTGAGCAGAAAATATCCTATCCGCCACGTGCGTCAGGTGAGTGAATCGACCGTGACATGACCACGATCTCCGCCCCTGTCGCCGTAGGCGCAATTGTGCCGGCGACATAGTGCCTTGCTGGGAACATATCCCCGTATCGCTTCGTATAATTTCCATGTAGAACGCATTAAACACAAAATTTCAGAAACGAACGCAACAGTTGCATGGAAGCATGAGAAAGAAGTTTATTGCTTCATACCTTTCGACCTCAGTAACAAGGGGTCGTAAAGCCAAACAACAGTTTGACATGTTAAGCAATATCAGTATGTTTAATGAATGAAAATACGGAATGACGGAGAGATGTTGAATGAATCGTGCTCTTATTCTCTTGTTGAGTGTTCAGCTTCTTGTTATGGTAGCAGTAGAAGATTGTATTATGTTTTTGCATGAGAGAAAAACGTTGCACTATGACGATATGCGCAGAACCGGGTTTTCGGTATTCGTGATGACCTTGTTCAACCACAGTCTCGGATTGGAGTCATGCCATTGAGGCTGACAAACACGTTTATGAGTATTCGAAGCCCTATTCCATGATTTTTATTACTGTGCTGTTTTTCTGTCAAGTGAAAGCATCAATTCTGCACTTTCTTCCTCCACAAAACAGGAACTTTGTTCAATAAATCCTTCACCACCCGGGAGCCATCTGACGGTTATTGGCGAACAGTCAAGAAATTCAAGGTTCGTACGATTGCTTAGCTAGAATCAAGAAATGTTTTATGCTTTTCTTCCTTTGTCGAATGACTGGGAGGAGTGACTAACAATTTTATATTTTGACGCCCAGATTTCTAAGCTGGACTCCCAGTTGTGGAGGAAGTGTTCGCAGTGCCTCAGTCCTGTCTGAATCCTGTTGAGGCTACGCCATTCTTGGCGAGCCAAGTCCATGCCGGGAGGTTCTGTATCTGGGTTAAAGATAAGGTCGTTGTTATAGGCGCCTGTAGCCTCCCACTATGCTCGCCATTGTTCCTCGAGACTGCTTCATATACGAGATTATGATATTATTTTTGTAACATTGTCAGGCAAATTTCTCTGATAGCAGCGGCAAAATTAATTGCTCTGACCGAAATGAGACGCGCAGTGAAGGGTTCACGCTCTCAACTAGCCTGAGAACTTACAGTGACGAAATCCGGCGCTCACGCTGTCAGCATTACAATAGGTAGGCTAACTCGATGCTCAGTGGTGATATCGTCGCTTGTTTTAACGGTGTGTGGCGTGATTGGAGGCGTCATGTCAGCGGTTGTAAAGGAACACGATAGACGAGAAACTGAAATTGTATCGGTGGTGCGGAAAACACGCGATGCCTCCCCGCCCCTACGTGAGTCGTAGGGTGTTCTGATCAGTTGTACATACAGTGCGTTCGTTTTCATCAAAGCGGGATTAGTAGAGTATTTAAAAGAACAGTCAGTCCGTGGTTCTCTAGACTGTGCAAGTACTCACAGAACTGTATTGTGCATCCTTTATTCATTAAGAGAAATCAGTAGTGACTCGTTAATTCGTCTCCCTGTCTGTAATGGAGGTTTTCGTCTATTCTACGTTACAGTCTGTCTGCAGTGAATTCAAAACGTTCAGCAATTAACAGATATGTTCAACGTGTTTCTTTTTCAGCGTCTTTAAAACATTCTTTGCGCCTGATCTTAAGAGATTACTATCCGATACCGATCTCTTTTTCTTCGAAGGCAAAGATTCGATTTTTTGAGCACCGTAGGAAGTTGTGCTACCCCCTGTGAATAAACTTTTTCTTGATAAGATCTGAAATTTTTCTTGACCCATTTGGTGGAAGAAATTAGTTCTTCGGATTACTGCTTGTATTTTGTTTGCTGTATTTATCATTTTGATGATGATGATGATCTACGTTACTAGAAACGTTTCTGGTTTGTGTTGTCCGCTGTCACTTCGACGCTTTAATTATGCCGATACATTCTCGCCATCAGTAAGGGGAGGGGTAGGCGTTTCCTTCCCGTGTCTTTTGCTGCACAGTCACGGACGTGCTTTTGCATTGTTCCTTCCTTGATTCAGATTGCGGTGAGGATTGTCTGCATTATGTAAATAATTTTTTCATGCTGATTTCACAGATGCAAGTTTTTTTTCGTACTTATAAGCACCAAATCTCTGTACTGTTACTCGATAAAGAATTGTCTTCACAGAGAACGATACGTTCGAAATAAGTTTTTCCTCACCACCGAAGCCTATTCTCTGCGACGTATTTTTTTAGAGTCTAATTGGTTTAGCTTGAACTTCTGATACAAGCTGCTCTATGAGAGCCTTCTTTTTGTTTGTTCTCAGATATGTCCTATTCGGAGTCCAGCGACGTCGCTCCATCTTCATCCTGGTTTGACATGTGTTCTCTTCGGCGTTTAATTTTTTAGGGCGTAGTAACAATGAAAGTTTTTGGACGGTTTTTCAGCGGACAGTCATCCGCAGTGTTGATTCCGTTGGTTAATCCGTATCTTACATAATCGATCACTGCCTTTTCCTCTTCCGCTTTGCTATAGGCTGTTTTCAGCGGACATTTTTTCTGACACCCTTTGTTAAGAGAATGTGAATGTGATTTTAAGGCAAAAACGCTGCAACGTCGAATCGCGTTGTGCTCGAAAACGACCTCGCCAAGCAGTTAGGAAGCCACAGCAAAATGGACTGGCTGAACGAGAAACTGCTCGTGATTCCGTCCTTGCCGCCATCCGTCAAGTCGCTGACGATCGCGTCAATCGAGTACGAAGTGCAGATGGAGTTCTCCTTCGCCGGCTCGACCGACCAGGTACTGTACCTGCAAATTCCGATCGTCGTCGGCTCCGTGTTCTGCGTACCGCCGTTGATCGAGCTTCTGAGCAGTTCTGACGGCAAGAAGTCGCTGTTGTCGCTCGTGCCGCACGCCGGTTCGTGTTCATGTCAGCGCGTTTGGTGTTCGTTCGCTTACCGGCGCTCGTTTTACAGGCTCGTACCGTTTGGAAGACTGCGTGTTCGGCAAAACAGTGTTTGAAATGAAAAACAATCCTTCATCGTTTAACCTGGTGGAGTTTGTTCCACGTTATCCAGTTATAGAGATCTGACGTTAAAGATGCAGCTTTCCCTGTTGGATGACGTATTGGCCTTATGATTTATGGTTGTTTTTTCTCTTGGTCTATATGTTGTTTAGTGTATTTACGGTAGCGGCCTCTGCTGTGCTGTTCGTGTTACTTTTTAGATGACGAAACTGTTTGTTAGTTTCTCAGGGTTGTTAGCTATAGTGTTAAGTTTCCACGTGCTTAATGTGGTGAAAATTTTAGTCATGACAGTACATGTTTATAGTTTATTTTTATCCGTATGTTTTTAATGTACTTTCAAGCATAATGTTTACGAATTACTGCTAAGGCTGTATTTTAAATGCCAAGTGTGTGGTGCTTTTTAGCTTTATTCCAATTATGTTTTATTGAATTCGTAATTTGATTTATGCTTACGATTTTCTGTTATGAATTTTTTAACGTCTATGAGGGTTTGCTGAATGCTTTTTGCTTGGCAATCTTATAGGATAATGTTCTGGCTGTTTTGATTAAAAGTTGTAACACGTTGACGATCTACTAGAGTTTGATTTTACAGTCGTATGTAGTTCGATTTGCCAAGCTGGTTCTTGATGTGTCATAATTCGTCCGTCAATCTTAATCGACGACGTTTTTCGACACCGCTTCTGGGCATGAATATTAGAATTTTATGTGATGCCAATCAGTAATAAAGAAATGTAGACTTCCTGTGCACTGCAAACGTCTACATGCCATGCAGTTGTAGCCCGAATTGGCCCCCACAGGTGTCGAGAAGCAACGGGCAACGGCGTGTAATGTTGCGGCACAACTTGGTGCAATGCCTTCTATCCATTTTTAACTGCCACGAGATCGAAGTAGAGCAGGGAACATTTTTTAACGCTTGCAGGTTAATGGGCATTACGCGAAGCTGGCGTTCGTTATGCTTCCGCCAAATCTTGGTGTAAGACGCACCGAAATGAAGTGGATTAATAACTTGCTCAAGAGAACTTAGATTTCGAATTTGACACCTCTTAGTTCGAAACCAACTTTTCACCACTGGTCCTCCTATATCTATTATGTCAAAAAAGTATACAAATCAATAGGCTGGTTAGACGTCTTGTACAAAAACGTATTGATATCCATATTCTTAATGGCTGTCCTGTCTATAAGAGTGCACGAAGTCTGGGTCTAGGTAACGGAGTTTGTTACCTTTCCGATTAATACGTTGAGTAACTTGGTACAAGTTCATGCGTTATTCACGTTGGCTGGTCATAAGACAATCGTATTACAACATTAGCGGAGGTGCTCTTGCAGATACTCGGCAAGTTGAGATCGCATACCCTTGATAAGTCCTCGGTCTCTCTGCGCACTTTTCATCCGACCTGTAAGCGAATCAGTGGAGACCACACGGGTCTCCATTTTTCTGGCCTACCGCTCAAAACAGTGTAGGAATATGGCCACCGTATCCCCCACTCTTTTGACCATAACAATCCTTACGCTCTTGTGTCACTTCGATCACCGCAACCAGCGCTTTTACGGGTTACGCCTGCGCCAAGTTACGTAAAATGCTAACCAAATACACGAAAAGGCAACAAACCCCGCTTCGTAGACTCCAGGCCCTCTACACCCATAGGGAACCCGTAAACAATATCGATATCAATACCGCTTTCAGCCGGTGTATAAAGGAATTCCTCTCTGGAACAAAATAGCCACAAGGTGTAGAGGGAAGAAACCGCTCTGGCAGAAATAGTGCTCACTTGCAATAACGCACGATGCATGCAAAACAAAAAACTAGTATCATTTAATAGCGACAAGGTCGAAAATCATTTCACGAGACAGCAGTCGCATCAAACAAGAAGCAAAAGATGAAGGTGCCGACACAGAGGAGGAAATGAAAATTTGCTACTGTTAGAATATCGGTTTTCCTTACACTTACACGATGGGGCGATTCTGGCGACCTTCTTGTCATGAACTTAGAGGTGGAAGCGCTGATCTCCGTTTCCACGCCATCAGTCAACACTGCCGTTTATTAAAACAATGTCGACAACAGCAATTAAAGTAGGTAGTCTCATGTTTCCTTCGCATAAAGTGTCACTTATTTATTAACTTTAGGAGGAAGACAAATGGCCTCGACTAGAGGCTGAAACCCCGCACCTCTCGGTTCTGAGAAAGACGCACTACCGACTAATCAACTCCCGACTGAAGCAGCTAAAGCTAGCAGCTAAGTAAGCAACCAAGTAAAGTTCTTGCTGAAAGGAATTCGTTAATAAGACAAAGATTGCCGTCAGGCGGAACCGCACCGTGCACCTCCGGGGTCGAAATAAACCCCATAGTCAGAACAGTTTACGATATTCGCTTTCCGATTGATCGTTCAAGGAATCAACTGGTTGCAAGCTGAGCAAGTAACGTGAAAAAATGCACATATAATCAGAATAGATGGGAAGCAACTTAATAGCGAACATGCAGATGGTCAGAAAATGCGTAACAAGATCGCGGCCGAAGCAAAAACAAAGAATAAACAAAGAAAGAACCGCTGAAAAATAGGAACCAAAACTTGAGAAAATTGGAAACACAGCCGAAAACATTGACAGTATGATTAAACAACCCAAAATGAACAGGACCATAGACAACTTACTGTAAGGAAGAGCACTATTAGAATTGGAAACGCCGACGGGACGGAAGCCGCTGCGCCGGCAGTCAAGCAAATCGTCGTTGATGACGTAAAGTACACCGACCAATTTGCATGCCACTGTTTCGGATTTTGTGAAATTACCACTGAATTTCGCGTTTTACCCTCATGTGCGGAAAGAGGTGTAAAATAGGCATTCGTTAAGTAATAATTTTCAGTCATTGAACTTGCGAATCATTAAATAGTTGTCATTTTCAGTTGTGTCCTATTTAGGAGTTAGGGTGTGCTTACATGTTACCGCTGGTAGTGTGCGTTGCTTTTCTAGTCCTACATTGCCTAACCGATGAAGCATCAGCGGTCGGCAAAATAATCGACGCCATCAACGCAGGTTCTGTCGCTATTCGATTTTCTTATGAGTCTTTTTGTTTTCGAGTTCGTTTTTTTTAATTTCACTGAAGTAACCGCTTGTTAGGTCGAGTGATACCTTAGTGTGTATGCAGGGATCGCTGTTTATGCATCAAATCAGTTTGTATATGTGTTCTGTAATTATCACAGTTTGTGCGAATAAGAAAGCTCGTTTAAGTCAACATATGCATTTGGCGGATGTTTGACCGCTGGACATTCACTCATTTAAAAGCAGTAGAAAAGTGGTTTGCGACCGTTAGGATGTCGATTCTCGGTACACTTTCGTGAGTTTTAACACCTTTTCACTTAGCTGCTAGAGTAACGTTGATTTCCCTTAGGATGACGTCAATAAGCAGTGCCGATTGTCTTATGACGGCAGTGTCTACCGCTTGATGGCCACTACCACGGGTAGGTTTCTACTTCCTTACCGCACTCGTACGGTGATACTCGTTTGTCTGACTTGGAATGGATGAATGGAGAGTTGCCCGAACCGGGATTGGAACCAAAAATCTTTCGAGCTTCTGTTAGCACGCACTCATCGTCTGAAATTGACTTTGACGTTGACGCTGGCTGTGGGAAGTTTCGTCAGTAAGGAGGGTTGATAAAGTACCGTGAACGTCACGGTCTGCTTATACACAGCGAAAGATACTGTGTTCAGCCCGGTGATTGACCAGTACCGACGTTAAGGCCCGTGTCTCACGGGTTTTCTTCAACGTAAGTTGGTGGTGAAGCTTCGTGTATGTGATGGGTCGTCTGCAGCAGTCAGCGGTTTCGCAGTCAGAAAGCCGAAGCAAACCGTGTTTTACGCAATTTTTCAGTATGACCACGAACGCACAAACGAAGTGCTGTATCTGAGTAAGGAGGGTTGCAAATTTCTAACGGTCACTTGGGTGAAGTCTAAGTTTTTTCAGGTTCAGTTCGGTATGACTGACATATCTCGTATCCTACTATACTCTGTTGGCCGGATGCAGCTTTGCGTGCTGTGATTATCGAACAGATAATATCACAGTAATAACAGGCTCTTTTAGGTAGTATTGATTAGGGAATAGGCATCGTGCGGTATGCTATTAGGAACGTATCAAACATCCCTTCTACCAGGTCGTAATTTGTCAAAGGCACGAACAGTCGTGCGCAGGCCCATGATCCCATCACCAGTGCTTTGTTACCGAAATCGAGACACAGGAGTTCCGTAATCTCGGGGCCTTCGTTTGCTGCGCGTAGAATGTGATGGTTTTCGCTCTTATTCGGGGTCGATTTGACTTTTGTCCTCGTTTTGTTTTAGTTTTCAAATCTGTCGGCGTTTCTGGTTCGCAGGCACTTTTTTGGTTGCTCTATTCATCTAAAGTTAATCAGAGCCTGAACAGTAGAATTGTCTAAATTATTGATATTATGAAGATGAGTTGAGATGAATTTTAGTAAACTGTATAGGCGTTGCTGATTGCTACGGTAAAATTCAAATCTCCCGTCATGAGCAGGTCTGCTTTTGTTTGTATTGGCCTGTCGAATGTGGTTCGTGTGAGATAACTTTTCGTACTAGGATAGCAGGTCGCTGTTTTCGTATTTTTAGTTCTACAGGTTTGTTGAATCAGACAAAACGTTCATGGTGATCAACATCGTTTACTCGTTTCTATCGGTTTCTGTCACGCATATATGAACATATACAGGGAAAATTACGCAGTTATGTCTAATTTTCGTTGCTACATGGTGAAAAATGGAAATCGTCGTGATTCTGTGCATTTACTGGCGCATTTCGATGTTCAGACCGACATTTTCTGACGTTTATGCGATAACACACCAGGAGTACCAGCTTTTGAAACATCGTTCTTGATGAACACGAGGTTGCTGTAGGCGAACAAAATAATACCTGATGTACCTAGCACCGCAGATTCTCAAATTTTATGAAGCCATGGCCTTCTAAAATGTTTCCTACAGGCAACTAGGAGTCATAGGCTGCCGCAGTACCTCGCGAGTGGTCCTTGAGAGTTATTCACCTTTCAACTGATTCTGCGGGTAAAGCCAA